CTGCCAAAACATCAGCGCCCCAATCCTAGCGGCTCTGACTGCTGATAGGTTCCTGCATCGCTAACGGTCAACTCCACTGCCAATTTAAACCATTTTCCCTAAGTATTAAAGATGAAAAAGAAAGAGTTTAACTTCTTTTTCAATATCTGTAACCTCTATTATTATTATTAATTATCCTGGGAGAGCCTTTATCAAAGATTTTCCTTCCTTGCTTTTATATATTCCAGACTTGTATACTGGAAACTGTTAAGATGATTTGAGCATTAATGAAGTTACTAAATCATGAAGGCTGAAAGCTGAGCCACTCAAAGAATATGTACTCTGTATTTTTTTTTTCAGGAATTTAATTCCAAAGCCTAGTAGGACAAATAACATCTTTTATTAAATATTTGATCCATTTTCCCTCATTACAGACTGTAGCCCTGTTTCCTGAAGGCCTGATTTTGTTAGAAAACCATAATGACTTTCAAGATAAAATATAAAACATTTGTTTTCAGGAAAAAAAAAAAAAGGAAAAAAAAGGCCACAATTTTTGGAACATCCTCAACTCACAAAAGTACTATTAAATAATATTAAAAATATATGCATCCAATTTAAAAGAAGTAGGCAAAATAGGTTTTAAAATTTTAAGGCAAGTTAAGCAAAGGCTGGTTATAAGAGAAAGTATATGCCACACTCAAAACTGAATAACAGCTTCCTAAACTTGCAATTCCCTCGGCAAAAACTACCACCACAGTGGAATAAAGAAGCAAAAGGCTGGCAGTGCAGCAACACAGAGAGGGGCATGGTTGAAAAAGCACTACAAGTTTTACACTGAAAACAAAATGAACAAACCTCTTTTCATGCTAAAACTGTCAAGAGTAGCAGTATTATCTATTGCCATAAGATTTATCAGCTTTTACCATCCAAACTCAAAAGCTTAGTCCTATTTTAAAAAAGATCTTAAAGGATATTTGGGTAAGTTAAAAGACAGTATGGCAGCAACTTACTGGAAACCTAACCCAAATGTCTGAAGTATGCCACTGAATAAAATCTCATCCTTATCTTGTATGCAGCAGTCGTAATATGAATTTTAGAGAGTGTGAAAAATAGTCCTTGATTTCCTTTCTGAGCCAAAATCGCTTTTAGTGTAATTACACTGACTTCAGGAGGAAGGAATTATAGCTACTCCTGAAAGGCTGAATTTGTTCCTTTTTATCCAACAGAGGTTAAAAAAAAAAAAAAAAGAAAAAGGAAAGATGGACTGTCCAGCACTGTAGTATTTAATAATTACTGGGAAAGGGAAGTACAATATCACTTTTGGTTTCATTTCCCCTATGTGGAGCTCAGTAATTTATATGTCTCCACTTAACAGGCAAGTCCCTTTTAAAAATGACTACCATCCCTCTAGGTCTAATTTGTAAATAGTTTTAAATATTTCCCAGACTATTGTCCTTCAAGATCATTTAGGAAGGTCTGTGAAACAATGTTTGAAGACCAAAAAGATTCCAGCTTAATCCTGCCACACAAAAGAGATTTTTTTTAAAGAATCTAAAGGCAAATAAAACAGAAGGCCCAAGTGAGAGTGTAGCAAGATTTTATATATATATATATAGATAGATAGATACATATATATATATATATATATATGAACTAAGAGGAGCTTTAGTGTCATGTATTAACAAACAAGTGAAAGGAATAGCTCTCTCCCGTTCTGGAGAGAAATGGATTACAAAAAGAGACGATTCAGTAGGACATGTGCTCCCAGACCAAATAGGCTTTTTTGGAAGCAAAGAGGTTGCGATGCTATTAGGATGATCCTCGGTCTGGTATAAAATGCACGTCACCCAATTATCTTATTTTTCCCTTGTGGCTGATTTCTGTCCCTTTCAGCGTGGAGAATGGGAATATGTCATGTGATGCTGCAGAGGATGATTTTGATGATATTCTATTCAGAGACAGCAGGTTATACCGATCAAGGCTGTTGCATGAAAATGGATTTCTCAAAAGTATGTTGGATAAATGCATTCCAACCAAAAATAACCTCAAATTCTCCCTTTCAGGTTAATCTTGAGATACCTACATAAAAAAAAGACTTTTTCCTCCCTCCTTTTACTTCTCATTTACCAAAAGAAAGAATTTCTTACTAGCAGCTGTCAAACACAGAGTCCTGTATACATTGGAGTGAGCATCGCCAAATGAGGCTCTTTCTGAACAAGCAAACAATCAGTAAGCTTACGATGATTTTCAAAAAGATAAAGGTCCTTCCTTTCCAATACCTTTGCAATAGATAGATACAGTGCTGACAATGTAGCTCAGGGAAAGACAACAACATGATTTTAACTCGAGTTCAGTGTTATTTCAGAAAGTTCATGCTTGTCATCTGTCAGTCAGTGGCAATCCTAAGAAAATCTGTACCTCTTTAAAAGCCTGGATGGGAAACAATCCATTCATACATTATGTGCTAGGGTAAAACACTTCTCAGCCCTCTTGTTCTCTCTGGAAGCAAGAAGGTATTAGTGAACGCAAAAACTTTCAGCTTCTGGTAAGATTTTGACATTGCCAGTTATTCTGCCAGGAACTTCAGAGTTCAAATACTGGATTTCTGCCATTCCTAAAAGATCCATGCGCAATGAGAGAGCAGCAGTGCTCCCTTTAAAAGGATGAGTTAAAGTGCTGAGAGATACTGCACTGTTCTGTATTGACAAATCCAAGTTGTAAATGTTTATTTTTTGCCAGGCATCTGCATGCTGCCACGTTCCCGTTACACTGCATTGAAATGGCTCTAAGTTTTCGCTGTGTCTCACGTCTCCTGTCGTCCACCCTATTCTCTGCTGCACTTGATGCTATGGAGGACTCCCACTATGGACTCCCTGCATCCATTTCTAGAGGGGCTCTCTTCCCCTCTCCCCATGCCACTTCATATGGCTTCCCACTGAACATGCCACTAATCCAAAATATGGATGCATTTTCCCTTAACAAATTTCACCTATTAGCATAACTACATAGAAATCTTAAATTTATGTCTTTGTTATAATTTAAAGGCATTAAACAGATAATATAAGGCTTTAAAAATTTATACATTTAAAGAAATAATTTTGCATTTTCCTCCAGAAGATCTCTGGCAAAAATATGTTTCCTTTTTGAAGGAAATATTAAATGTTTACTTCACTTACATATCAGGGTGGTAGCACTCCTGGAGTCACAGACATATTCAAACACGGACTTTGCATGAACTCAGTCTTGGAGACCTCTAGCTGTGAAACGTGGCCAGAACAGGCTGTACAATCCAATGTTTAATGACAGGGAGAGTCCAATTGCCTAAATAAACTGGACTAAAATAGGCTCTGCAACTCAGAGCACTCAGCCAAGCAGCCCAATGGGGCCCACATTGCTCCTTATGGCCACAGTAGTAAGAGGAACAAGAGAAGCACTCACACATGTTACATACATGACGTGACCATACAAGACCTTTAGAAAGCTCTGTAGAGTAAGACACTGTTCTATCTACCTTTTCAAAGGCCGATTTCAACAGCAGAGAATGATAAACCCTGTTTTTTTTACATGCTATTTCACCCCAGAGAAATTCTGGCTTACCTGCATACTAATGGCTTGTTCTTTGTCACTGAGGCTACTCAACATGCTTCAAACAGGCTCATAAAAGAGAAAACAAAGTGCACAGAAGCTGCCAGTGATCTTGTTTTTATTTAGGAGCACATAAAAAAAGTTATGCCACAGCTTTGGTTGACTGGAATGATATGCATACGTAAGTTTTAACAACATTTTTCTTGAACAGTAAACATGACTTGTACATTCAGTTGTGTGCAAGACAAACACAGCCAGTAACACATTTACACCATAGAAAATGAAATGTCTGAAGCACGGAGCTGTGCCACCCGTTGTATTTTTGGTATCTAACCAGTGTTCTCTCCAATTAGTCGCTTGGAACCATTTCACGTAAGGTCAGTTTAAACGCGCGCACTCTGGGGCGGGCTGAGCCTTGTCAGCATTGCGGCAAGAGCCTTACCTGCTGGAAAACACTGCCTGGAAAGTGTCTCTCCTGCCACTTAATTGTGAAAGGAATTTGCAAACTGGGAGATTACAACTCCATTATTAATAATCAGCCACTTGCACTCAGGACAGTGGACAACATTTGCAGTAATTTTAAACACTCGGAAGTTTGTGGTGCCACAGTGAATCACGAGAGCCACCGAGACGGGGTGATTCCTCTGCACAAGTCAAGGGCTCACGCACCACGCGCTTGCTAAAGCTTCGCACAGCTCTTGGGAGCTCCTCAACAACGACAGCTGCTGACAACCACCTGAATTAGGAGAGAGGTATGAAAACCCCAGCGGGGCCACCCTGGAGCCTGAGGATTGCGTTACACATCGCACGTAACGCTGAGCACTGGGTTCTGGCTGGACCGCAGCCCCTCACTGCTCTCAAGGGCTGCTAATAAAGCGCAGATGGGATATTTACAGTTTTCAGGATAAACTTCCTACCAGACCAGCTGTAACCATTTCTTTTTTTTTTTTTTTTTTTTTTTTTTTTTATAAACCCTGCTTTTTTAATGTCACCCTTTTGTACAAACGCATGGTGAAGCAAATGACACTATCTTGTTTTAGTAAACAAAAGATTGTTTTCGATAAAAACATATAAAAGATCATTTTATCTGCTGGATGATATACAGGTACTTACATCTAAGCATGAATACTAAACAACGAAAGAGAAGGTATTTTAGAATGTTTTATGTCTGATGTAAACACAGAATGAAAGTATGGAGACTCAAAAGTGAAAATCCATTAACTCACTCCATTATGCCTAGTTATTGCAGCATTTATGATACAAAATCATTCAAATGCAGAAAACACCTGCTTACCTTCAAAAAGAGGCAAAGTGATTTCTTTGGAAATGTACTTAAATTAGAAAAAAAAAAAAAAAAAGAAAGAAAAAAAAAGCTCCTAGCGAAGACGTGTTATTACCTTTCAGCCCCCAGAAGAAACTCACAGGCAAATTATAAACTCCTGAAAATAGAAGTTTATAATGACAACAGATAATGCTTCATTACAGCAGCATCAACAATGCCACCATAACATACCACTGGACAGGTTTTGTGTTTTTGTACATGTTTACAGTAAATATTTGAAGACACGAGAAGGATTCTTGTGCAGCTTTTTCCATTAAAGGTGTGCAGTTCATCCAGCTCATAAGTATTTCCTTAACTGTTTTTTAAAAATGAGATCTTTGACCTAGATATGTAGAGTGCACACTAGTTGTCCTTAGTTTATATGGGGTTAAGTGCACTATGAAACGCAGACGCAAATGGCTTCTGAAAGCTCAATCATCATTTAGTCTGTTTCTCTACAATCAAATGCACACTAAAGAAACGTTTAAGAAGTTGCTTCCAATTTCTCTGACCAATTTCATTTCTTCTCACCGATTTCACTTCTTCTCAGCAAGAATTTCAGCACTAACTTTGACTTCCAGGGAGGTTTCTTCTGGAGACAGCTTAACTTTAGTTTCACAGCCAGGAGATCCACTGGTAGCTGCAAAGGTAAGAAAAAAAAAAAAAAGAAATTACTAGATTTTATAGGTATTTTCTTTTATGTTTATATATATTTTCTTTATGTTTATAAGAACATCCATACTAAAAATAATTTAAAAGCAAAGCAAATGCAACAAAAGTTACCCAGCACAGAAACACATACAATGTTACAATAAATTGATCTTAAAGTAAACAGATCTTGAAGTTACTCATTTATCAATCCATCACTATTAAAAGATCTTTATACGAACATTAAAATAGCAAATAAACCTCAAAACCACATATATTATCAGTAGGATAAGTACTTTGTTTGACCAGGTCAGCTTATCAGTAGAAGGAAAGCACTTCATTAGACAAAGCAGAGAAAAGCAGGTTGGAAAACCCTAGAAAGCAAGAAATTAACTCCAACTTCAGAAAAGCCAAAGCTGGCAGCAGTGGGAAAGAAAGCAAACAACCAAAACCACACACTTCCTGGAGCTGCAGTACAATAAAAGTCGTTTCAAGGGTAAAAAAGGGACTACAAATTCAATCTTCCCTATGGAATATTCTCATAAAATCTACTGACCTTTCCCAGGGAAAACTTTCTAACACAGGCAAATCTAAGCAAAAGTATTTTCATTAAAAAAATAACGTAGCAAATATCAGTGTTTACCTTCTAACTGCATGACCCAACAGAGCGGAAAGTCAGCAAGTTCTTTCCGAGGAGCCCTGAGCAGCCAGGTTAGCCCTGCAGGTGCAACCTGAGCGCGTTGCTCCCGAAGGCCGCGGAGCCGCGCAGATGCCCAGGGCGGGCAGCGTGCCTGGGGGCAGCCCAGGCTGCGCGGGCCACCCGTGCCCAGCGCTACCTGCTGCTTCAGCCCGGCTCTGAGCCCAGGGCGGGATGTGTGCCCGGGGGCAGCCCAGGCTGCGCGGGCCGCCTGTGCCCAGCGCTACCTGCTGCTTCAGCCCGGCTCTGAGCCCAGGGCGGGATGTGTGCCCGGGGGCAGCCCAGGCTGCGCGGGCCGCCTGTGCCCAGYGCTACCTGCTGCTTCAGCCCGGCTCTGAGCCCAGGGCGGGCAGCGTGCCTGGGGGCAGCCCAGGCTGCGCGGGCCGCCCGTGCCCAGCGCTACCTGCTGCTTCAGCCCGGCTCTGACTGGCCTCTCGCAGCACCGCCTTTCCAACAGGAAACTAACTAACTATCATGGAAAAGAGGAGGTGCAACTCCCTAACAGCACAGCAGACTTCCTACAAGTTATACTCAGGCATTTTGAAATATTAACATCTTTTAGAAAATCTTTTATTTGGTAGTTTCTTAAAACACAGCAAGTTCCATCCCCATGCGAGGGTGAACTCCTTTCCTGTGAGGGTGCCAGAGCCCTGGCACAGGCTGCCCAGGGAGGTTGTGGAGTCCTCTGGAGACCTTCCAAACCCGCCTGGATGTCGCCCTGTGCCCTGTGCTCTGGGTGTCCCTGCTGGAGCAGGGGGTTGGACTAGATAATCTCTAGGGGTCCCTGCCAACCTCAACCAGTCTGTGATTCTGTGATTCTGCTCTGTTGAAATAAATATTGTTTTGTATTACAGTTTGCACTGTTGGTGCAACAGCAGTACAGCAGTACAGCAGTAATACTAACCTAAAAAATAACCTGAAATGTACTGCTAGAGCAAATGTAAAGACTTTATCTGAACACGCAGTTTTGCAATAAGACCACCTTTGGATGAAAGCAATATACAAAGCATGGGTTATTAATAGCAAACTGAGGGGCATTCACAAACAGCCTACCTCAAAGGAAAACAAAAATATCAAGCACTGTCATGTTGTTAGTTTCAAGAAAAGATCAAAAATTATTTTTTAAAGGTTTTTTCAATAATGTTGCAACTTCCAGGCCCATATGCCAATGAACAGCAAAATTCTAAAGTATTCAAATGAGAAGAAAAAAAAAAAAAAGAAAAAAAGAGAAAAAAAGGAGAAATCTTTTAACTGTAATCCCATCCACACACTCTCTTGCTGCTCATGCAAGTGCTGTTTAATCAGTAAAGGAAGTACATCTTGTGTGTGCAGTAAGCTATCAAAACACTGTTATCAAAACACTGTTATCAAAACATTTAACCAATTTTTTTCTTTGAATCTCATTGGTCTTTTTGCTCTTTCTCAATTTCCCTGTCTACAAGCTCTGTGAGGAACCCTGCCTTTCAGCAGTCGATTTTGAGATGCACAGCTTCGACTATCTGAATTTCCCGGGGCATTTTTCTTCTTTGCCCTGCTTTGTGAACGGCAGATCCTCGGTTTCCTTTTTCTTTTTTTTGGTTAGTACTACTATTCATGTTTGCAACTGTGCCATTTAAATAAGGACTTCTGTTCATCTGAGAAAGACTAGGAATGCTAGACTAGACTAGAAACTAGACATTTTTTTACGTATGTCAATACTTACAAAGCAAGAGAAAAATATGCGATTGTAACATTTCTATCAAACACTTTGGAGCATGAGAGAAATAGGTTCTTAACAAAGCTGCCAGGATAACATGGGCGATGCTACGAGTTCTAGATGACTACTAAAATGTTCCCACCTACTTATATATGGAATGATATGAAAGAGCTGCCCAGAGAAATTACACAATATGTAAGAAAAGAAATCCTGCGAGAAGCACCTGAATGAGGTTGGTTATTCTACCAACCAACCTTGAGGTTACTTACGTGTGCTGGTCTTCTCCACTGGCAGCCTCTCAGGCAAAGCTTCAAGCGGTGTGGGGAGAATTTTTGTAGGGGTGTAGGTATTTAACGAACTCTTCCTTCCTGACAGGGGACTCATGTAGGTTGGAGAGGCTGAAAGGTCATGGGGGAAAGATATACATCACAAATATTAACAATACCATTATTAATAGCAAAATGCCAAAAATAACAGTAACCATGTAGCTGTCAAATACTACCAAAGTCTTAGCCACAAGCCCTGCAAGCCAGTCATGGATTTTTGACTCTTGTGTCAAAATGTCAAAGAGCGGAAGACAAAACCCTCCTTTTCACCTCAGAAAGCAGCACAAGAGCATGTTTGGCAGCACGAAGCTAAACCAGGTTTCAGTAACAGAAGCCGACTGGCAGGAGAGTTAGTGCTGCTGCTCATGGGTCACCAACACACCCCACGCAGCCCAGCAGGTCTAAGGGAGGAATACAAGGGATGGCTCTCTAGGCACGTCCCCGATGTGGTAGGAAAGCAGAAGGATCTACAGACAGGTTATCTCCACATAAGCAGAACTGTGAAAATCCTGTTTTCCAAACTACTCCAATAGCATGACCTTGTTTGTTAGAATTTTTTTTTCTTCTTGTGAACTGTCAATTCTTTACCACTTTTCAGGGGTTATCATCTTTCCAAGCCCTAAACAATATGAAGAAACTTTTAAAATACCTAAGAACTTTAAAGTATTAATGAGCTGTGCTCATTTATCAGTAACACCACTTCTCTTAAGAATACTTTCTCTCCCAGATGTAGGAGGCCTGCACTAACAAATTAGCTGCTGATTCAAATCTCAAGCATCAAATCTCTTAAAACCCCGGAAAGAAGCAAAACCCCTAGCATTTATAGTACTTTAGCATCAGTACTAGCATGCACAAGCTTTCCCAACAAAAGTGTAATTCTTTAAACATTTCTTCAAAACAACTCCACTTTCCACTTACCTGAAACACAAATTACAAGCATCCTAATAAATGGTAAAAAAAGAACTAACTGCAAACCGGTTTCCAAAGAAGCAAGCGGAGAATCGCAATGGGAAAGCATCTTCCCCCACGCATGCACATGGACAGAACTCACACCTCATTTCAAGATCACGTAGACATGAAACATGCAGCTCAGCTTCTTGAGGAAAAAAGCAATTGCAAGGCACTCTGCATGTGAAGCAGCAAGTCACAGCGAGAGATGCAGGGCATAACAGCACTGCCAGATACAAAAAGCAACGCTGCTCTGCTGAGGTGACTGCCCGGGCAGCGGCACAGCATGAAGCTGCAAGTGCATGCTCAGTGTTAGCAAAAAGCCTTCCCTATAATCCAACTGCAACCAGCAGGGAGATGTTCTTAGCGTGAGAAAAGAAGCCTAATATTTCATACAATTTTTGGTCTATTTTATCAATGAATCGGGAAATTACCTCGACAGATCATGATAATGTTCATATAGCAAGAGGATACCAAAAAAGTTACTGTTACAGTTAATCTATGTTGTGTGTTTTTTTGCTTCCTTTTCTCTTTTAAAATAAACAATATTCTTAGTTTAATCACTTGCTACAAAATAGTGGAAAGATTAACTAGACAATATTTAACAATTTAACATGAGCATAATTACAACTAAGAGCAGTACATGTCTCCTGTAGATTTTCACTTGATGGAGCAGCAACAGAGGCAAGAAATTCATCCACCTGCTTTAAAGACAGGGAATTGTGTAGGGTTTCCAAAGGGCAAATAGAAGGCACCATGGAATACAGTTCAAAACCTGCAAAAAAATAATAAAAAAGATTTCCAAGTATAAGACAGGAATTAAGCTATCGCATGGGCAAGCATTAATGTGTAAAACAAATTACTTATTTTAAAATCAATACATGCAGACATAATACTCCTGAAATCCTCATGTATTATCAATAGAACATGGAGTTAAAAAAAAGGTGGGCCACCTTCCAGAATAAACTGAACTCCAAGTATCATGTGACACAGCATGGGGTACAAGTCCCATGCACATGTACAAGTCCCACATACAGAACTGGTCTACACACATCACATCAGTTCATGAAGAATAATCTTCCCTTAGGCCTGAACACTAACGAGAGTCAAGAAATGGCAGTATTTCTCCTACTCAGTCTCATACAAGGCAGAACATTGAATAGGTAACTCATCCATGCAAATGGACAGCTGTGTTGTCAACAGCTGGCTGAGGGAGAAGAGCTAAAATGCTAAAGCTCTCAATGAGGAAAATGGGAAGAAGTCGCCTTCTATCATCTCAAGTATTCTGTAAAAACAACTGTTGTCTCTAGTATCCATGGAAAACTACGATTAGCACTCGTGTACTTTGAGGTTACATGTTTTGGCTTTGTAGAACAGATTTACACCTACCTTTATGGATTTAAAAATCAGTACTTAAAACACTAAAAGTTTTGTATATTAGCACAGGTAAGTATACCAAACCAAAATCTAAAGTTTACTGGACTCTACTTTTCTACATTAGTTATTATCATAAACCAACCATGCATATTTGCATTACTAACATATCAAAAGCATTTTAAACACATCTTGGCATAAAACTGCACTTCTGTAAACTGAGTAAGTTGGGTAACTCAGCTCTCTTCATCCAACTGCATTTCAAAAGAGGAAAATGTGTCCATGAGCGTTCACACATAGCTGTACGATTCCAAGTTTGCAATTCAATACTGTTAATGCATAATTGCTACATTTCTTTTACGATATTTAAATGAAGAAACAATAGTGAATGAAATAATGTTTAGAATTTCAGTTCAAGGTACATTTTTTTTTAGAGATAGCAATCTAACGGTGAACTCTTCCCTCCCCCAAAATAAGAAGCATCAATATTCCTCTGCTAGCCAGTGTTCCCCATTTGCTCCTCCTTCAGTGGAGGAGAGAAAATAACTTCAAAATTTCAACCCACGGATGTCCGTGTTGATATTTGGATCCACGTCAAATTTGAGGGAGCGTCACGCCAGCTCTACAATCAACTGCAGCGTGCTTATGGCAGCTTCACTAATGTAAAACATTGCATTTCAGGGCAACTTGCTTTTCATGTGCAAAAGAAACACCAACACATTCTTCATTTCTATATTTTTTTCTTAAAAAGACAGCAGCTAAGCTTTAGTGTAAGCACTAAGAAGGTTTGGCACACGTGTTAATATCCTATGGACTGTGCATGCATGCAAAGCGCCAACCCTTTCTTTGCATTACAGTAAGATACACAAGAGTTGTCCCTTTATCCTGGCGGAAGTGTCGCCATCAGCTGAATCCCCTTTTTCCCTTTGCAATCTTAATGCTTGCACAGAATGCAGTGGGACAAGGCCAGGTTCATTATTTTTAATCATCTACTAATGTTTCAGTGCAATGTTATAGAAAATCGGAAAGGAAATTCAAAATGGACCCTAAAAAAAGAGGGGGGGAAAAAAAAATCTTTTTCCTTTTAGGAATTTCCCCTCTTCAGGTCTGTGGTTGGTTTGGGGACCTCTGCTATCAGACAGCCATACCCCAGCCATACAGTGCCGTGAGACTTCTGCATCTAAGGGATATGACCGAGAAACCCAGAAAATCTCTCCACCGTGTTTCATTTGAGAATTTTATGACAAATTCTGGGAGGCCTAATGAATTTGAGAAATACAGTTACATATTTAGCAACAAAGAAGCCAAAGGGCAGTATCCCTTTAACAGAGCCATTCCCCGCAGACCAGCAGCCCTCGGCCTTTGGCCATACTCACTCTTTGCCTTCGAAATGCAAGACAAGGAAAGGGTTAACGCAGCACTTCCCAAAGCCACCTGCTGTCTTGGGTTTCAAAGCTAGGGACACATACCAGGGGAGCCCAGAAACTCCACAGAGGCACCGGAGCAGCCCCTCGAGAGGCGCGGGTGCTCTGCGCAGAGGCCCAGAACACAAGGTAAAGCACTGTCAGAAGGTAACTTGTTTCTCCATGTTCCTTGAACTAAAGATGAGGGGAAGGGGTGGCGGGGAAAGGCAGTGAAATGAGTCAGAAGGTGTGAGAATCATGTAAAAGGAAGAGGAGGAGAGTGAAAGGGACACAGAAAATCAGAATGACAGTCCGGAGGACAGACAAAATGACACCTCCATGTTTGCGGGTTAGTAGGGAGCTCTCAGAAACCTGAGGATACCCGTAGGTTTCATGGGAGCTCGCAGGGCATGCGTTAGCTCGTCGAAGATGTGCGGTCAAACGTCTGCGTTAAATGAACCAGAGCCGTCAGTGCATTTGTTAAAAGCAATTTGGATGGATCTACTTTGGAAGAATGCAGTCACCAAGGGTAGTGCTGAATGGAACAGAAGGTACTCCAGCTATTAGGCAGCTAGACTCAAACGCAGCCCTTACTTCCTGAGCCTCCATAATGTTTTGGAAATATCATCTGATTAGATTCTAAAGATAAAAAACAGGTTCCTACGTGTCTTATTTGAAATGTAAGGCTAGAGCGGGCCTTTCTAGAGCAAATCCAACCGTCAGCCTCAATGCACCAGCTTCCTTTGGGAAACGCTGCAGTGCGGCTCCCTGGGGCTTCCGAACGCTTCTGGTAAAGGAGCATTTTGCTTCAGGGAAAATGAAGCAAGCGTTTGCTCCGCCTCAGCCTCCTCCTAAACAAGCGCATTTTGGATCGAATGCGGCTGTCCTGATGATTTCCTCTGCCCTTTCCACGATAGAGCATCGTTACTGTCCTGGGCCAGCACTCACGTGCCTTAGAACTGAGATCGAGAGATCTGGCAAAGCTACGTTAAGATCTGGTGAATGCTGAAGACCACGTCTGGTTTCCATGAACAGCATATATCTGGGCTCTATTTAATCACGTAGAAAGTTAGGCACAAAATATTTTGCTGTGGAAGACAAAGATACAGCTTCGTCCTGCGTGTTAAACCAAATTCTTGCATTTATTTTTAAATAGTAGACTGAAGACAAGTTCTCTCTCATCCTTGATTCTCAAGAGCTTAAGGGAAGCAGGAGGCAACCCTTTCCCTGTGATTTTTTTTAGTGCAATATTGAAGTAATTTGCACACTCAATGAACAGAGGAGAGGTATGATCTGGTAAAGTTTTGGTTCATTGATAGATATCGCAATTTAGCAGGAATGGAACCAAAACTTCTGCTCTAATTCTATTATTATTATTATTATTATTATTATTATTATTTTAAAATTTAGCATCACCTCAAGAAGACAGTCATAAAATCAATTTGTCAACTCCACTGTTTTCTTTGGCATGGGAGGGAAATAGCTCAGCAGCAGGAAGACAAAGAAGCAGCAGAAGCTATCAAGAAGTCTCTGTCCAATAAAGATCAGATACAATTCTATTTTTATCTTGCACTATACAGTCTGATTACATGAGAAATGGGGGAGAATAATTTATTAGAGATCACGATTAACAGCAGCATTTAGATTTTTCAAAGATTTTTTCTGATGAATGGATTTTGACGTCATATTTATACTAATGGATGACAAAGAAGAGATTTAGGATATCTAATGATTACAGAGGTATTTGGAGTTGTGCTTGAAGTTAGGAACGACAGATGGTTGGATGATACTGTACACCCCATATTTGAAATAAAAATAAACGGGATGAAGCAAGGAACCTTTTGTGTTTTTGTTTTTGTTTTAAAATAAAAGCAAAACGTACCATTGGTTGGGTGTCGAGCAAATGAGATAGAAAACCTTTTAACAGCAGAACCGCGTGTGGTGTCTGAGAAAGAGAAAAACAGGTACCTGAAATTCGTAACAGCTACCAAAAGAGGGACATTTTCAAAAAAGGAGAGGAAGAGGAAAGACAAAAAATAAAAAGTCAAAAAATACACCAACAAAAAAAGATAAGAAGGTGTTAGAACGGAGTGGCATGCAGAGGGGATCAGGGAAAAAAAGGGCTAAAATCTAAATAGAGGTTAAAAGAAGAAAATTTGGGCTGTTGAAAACTACAAGATGTGTCACGAAGTGTATGAAAACAAGCAGAATGAGCTGGTGATTCTGGCATATGAGATTATATCAGGTTAGAGTTGAACACTGAGTAGTGATTTTTTGGAGGGGAAAAAACAGCAGGAATACTGTTTCATCTCAATGTTGTAAGGGGATTTACATTCTGAAATCTATGGAAAGAGTATCTGCTCTACCTCAGATTATACAAAAAAAAATGAAAACCTCCTACTCTTTAGTAAGCCAAACCCAACCAGAAGAGAGTCAGGAATCCTAAAATTTTCACCATCAGTATTTTTAAGTCAATTTATCATTTCTCTCATTCCTTGCATATGCTATAAGCAATTTAGTTCAAGATCAATAAGAAATGATAAAATCAGAAGCTTGAAATGAGAAAAAGCATTTCAAAACTTAAATTTGAAGGGTGCTGAAAAAGCGCGCTTGCTGAAATCTCTCGGCATGTATCGCAAGCGGGTGAGCTAACGTTCAATTCAGGAGAGTAACAAGAATTAACTCTGCTATTAAATCAAACAGAAGCGAGCTACGGGCAATAAAGAAGCAACAGAAACTCATACAATTAATACTAAGGCAAAGGATTCTAGGATTCCATGAAAACGAGCAACCTCAGCTTTATCTCTAGACGCTTAATGTGGCCCGTGGGTTGGTGCGTGCATGTGCGCGAGTGTGCACATACCATCTATGAAGCCAGAAGAAGTCAGCTTTTTACGATGAGTACGAGCATAATCCTGTAGGTTAGGTGCACTCGAAGAACCCCCGAGCACTGAGGTGCTAAACAGGCCCGCACACTGAGACCCTGATGGGAGTTAGAGAAAATACATACAACAACCAGGTGTTCGTCCATTCACATTGGGGATGCATGCAGCATGCAAGCACAGGGCTCTTACCACACAAAAGGCAGCTTTTGGCAGGGCCTTGGACACGTTCACAATATGCTTGTAATGTCAAAGTGGAGGCTGAAACTACCATAATTTACTGCGCTGCTAGTCCTGACCCAGCACCCTCTGCTACAGAGGGGACTGACTTTACCAAGGCGACTTTGTGGCCTGCGTTCAGGTTTGGTAAAGAGAAGTTACCGGTTAGCGTCCATGTAAGCAGAACCAAAGCAACAAAACAAAAGCAAGATGACAATGTAAACGCTGCGGGGTTTAAAGCTGGCGGTCCTGGAACAAATAAAAACTGGGTAATACTGCTCATTGCTTCCATCCAGACCACCCTTTGAGATGAGCGGCTGCAATGATGCACTCATGCATTTCCACAGATTTAACATGGAAACATTTCCCTTTTAACCTCTATGAAATGGGAACCAAAGCAGAAATACTCTATAGTATTTCAGCTGCCTTTGTTGCCAATGGTAGAAACTGGAAACACCTACAAATTTTCATCAAGGTGAGCTCAACTTCCTTCCTAGCGAAGAGACCCCTGCATGTTTCCATGCAATCGAAATGCTTTTGCTACCACTTGTACAGTCCTGCCACTAGGAACTTTAACGTGTCTCTGAAGGTCATACACAGAAATGTCATTTCTTATAATCCACCATACATGAGACTTACAAATACCAGTGAATAAAATGGAAAAAAATGCCGTATTTTTTTTCCTTTAATCTTGACTATGACTCGAAGGGAGAACTGGCTCACTAGACCAACTGTCTGGAGATATTTCCTTTCATTGCTTTGGAGGTTCCAAGTGAGAGGAAACATTACTAGCACATGTGACCAATGACAGCCAAAATAAAGAGGTGCCTAGTCTGTGGCAAAAGCTCCAAAGGTAATATCTTGACCTACACACACAAATATATCATCTTCCACAAGCCATATTGTGTCACAGTGACAAAAGAAAAGTTGTTTAACTTTAGCAAGCACACATTAAAACATGACGTCAGTAAACGAGGGCACCTGATGTATGCATTTTACTAAGGAAAAAAAAAAATATAAGCAGGGAGAAAATTATCACAGAAAGATTAGACAAAAATACACAGAGGAAAAGCTACCTCTAGCCTAATACATATAGCTTAGGCATTTGCTACACTGCTTTTTTTCCCATGAAAAGACATTTTACATTTACAGGAAAAAAATGCAATATTAATTTACATTAGTACAAAATTTCATATTTTTGCACATTGGTCAAATGAACGCCTGTTTCAAAGGAATAACAGGAAAACATCACTTCTATTGCAAGAATTTGAAACAACTCATTGAATTATAGCAAAATTAATTCTAGCCCTGAAAGAGAAAAGTGATTTTAAGAAAGGGACCGTGTGCAAAAGCCCTGATACACCAGGAAACTTGAAGTTGGTTTCTTTTTTTTTTTCCCCTGCTTTGGTACCACACTTTCAATTCCATCAATTGCCCACTAATGTAGGAAACATTAATTATCTTCAAGAAAAGGGTTTTAATGGTTTCCATTGTAGGCCTTTTCAATCCAAAAGATTCTGCAAAAACCAACAGCTCGGTCATAAACTACAAAATCTTAATGAGCTACATTATGCTAAAAATAATCCTGTGTACCTGTTCTGGCAGGAAAGAGGCAGGAACATGAACAGTCTCCAACAATTTGCTCTTTTCAACTATAACTTATGTAAAAGCTTTTGCTGCAGAAAAAAAAATCAAGCTGTCCCATTGCAAAAGCTGTACTGTTTCAGACCATCAGCAGATACTATTGATTACAAAGACTACACGGTCCTGGTCATGTAAAAAAATTTACAGCAATCGATCAATAAATTAAGCGAAAGGAAAAAGAAACTATGAAGTACAACTGTGCAGAACACTGGGCAGAAGAAAAGCTAACATGAAACGAAAGGTCAATTGTAGGCACATACCTAGACCACTCTGCTTTTGCTCCAGAATAGTTCTCGGTGTTCGTAAATTACTATTGCTTTCTGATAGGACCTGGATGCAAAAAACAGAAAAATAAGGAAAGGTAGAACAGGAGCATGAAATGGCTATTTAATTTGATACAGCAGCCTGTTTCAGACAGACAAGTGTTAATAAGCTGTATGATAAGTGTTAGTAAAAATATGTAAAGGAAATATGAAAGATCATGCAATATCCCCTTCTGAAGGGAGTCCGTTTTGACATGAGTTCCTTGCAATGAGGTGGTGCAAAGCAAGCATTCAGAATGGAAAAGGACACAGACCAAGACATGTATGAGAACAGACATTTGAGACAGATTTTGTTTTATTTTACCAAATGCACTCTCCTAAACTGCGCCTGTATTGAAAAAAGGAGGGGAGGGAAGGAAAGACAGACAAGCTATTGAGGACACCATACAATCACTGACCCATGCACGGCCTCAATCAGTGTCATCCTCAGATACTCACAGCCTTGACTGATATTTACTTTTCCTACATAAGGTCTAGAATTTTCCACAATCAAAAGAAATTACGAAAATCTTGGCAAAGGAAAAGGGTAGGATTGACAGAACACCATCCATTGCCACACAGGTAAACAATATCTTGAAATATTACACAATCTTTAGGTCTTCACTGATGCTTCAGAAATATTTGTATCATTTATTTATTTATTTTCTCTATTTTTTTTTTCTTCTGTTTCCTCCCCGGCATTTAGAAACATCTTCAAAATATTGTACAGTTCAATGGATGATGTGCTGTGTTGGCAGTTTTAGACACCTCCAGATACAGAAGGCAAGAATTATTAGTGCTTAGAATTATTGTTCCCTGCAGTAGTTAATACCAGGCCACTGAAAATATGATATATGCAAAACAAGGTTTGAGTAGCAATATGAAGTTCCAAATAAATTACTTTAAATGGTATTGTTTGCCATTATTTAAAAAAAAAAAAAAAAAAAAATTCAATTTACCTACCACCAAATTAAGCAATGCCATTTTCAAAGTCTTAAAGGACAACTAAGCCAGAGCAGAAATCGGTTTCATTAGGCAGTAGACTGTGTCTTTTCTACTGTATTAACGTTTGCATTTCCTAGAGAGGAACCAATTCTTCAGGGAGATGTGCAACACATTGAGTGGAAAAAACATGCACTTGCTCTTTTTTCCCCACCCCCAAACATTCTCGGGAAGTAATTTTAAGAAGTAGAAGAATTTGCTTTGAATGTAATCCATAACAAGGGATTAGGTGTCCTTAAAGACAGTCGGTTGTTGCTCGGAATGCATAATAATGTTGAATGAAGTAAAGTTTAAAAACCTGTTGCCATGAGCCAAAAATACTGGATGTGAAAGCCAATGATTTAGGGGAGACAGGGGAAGAAGTGATTTGTTCCCCTGATCTGCGTCTTCGACGCCCAGTACCCACACCACTGGTGTAATGCAGCCAGGTACCAATACACTCTGGGCTAGACACACTCAGGGGGCTCTCTTCCTGGAAGTGAGAAAGGGGGCAAAAAACAGCAAAGCATGCAAAGTTAGATTCAACAGAGCCACATGAACAGGAAAGATCCCCCAGCCTGCTCGCGCCCAGACTCTCCGCACGCCTTGCGAAACTCCTCGGGGGCCCAGGGACGAGCGGGCGCCCGGCTCGCGCGCGCTCCGGCCCTCGGGCACAGCAGCGGCTTCAGCGCCTTCGGGGAGGCCCCATGGTGACACGGAACCGGGGCCAGGAACTGCTTTAAACTTCACAAATGCCCCTACGTGTCGGAAATAATGTCTGTTATTCTTGACATACTGTTTAATACCTTCCCCCTCTGAGAACATTAACGCTTCCTATTTACGGCTTAATAGTTTTCATTTCTAGTCTGGGTCATCGCCTAAAACTTTCTACCAGTTTTTAGAACTGCCTTGGAGATTCTACAGCTGACCGTCTGGCAGTGGCATCACAGGTCTCCCAACTTAAATTACATATATTAGACTTAATATTCTGATGCTGGACAGCTGTAAGACTTCAAGGGACATTGTCAGGCTAAGACTCTCCCATGCCCTACATAACTATTATTGTAATGATTAAAAATGGACATGTTTGGTAACACAGACCTGGATTTTCCATGCTGGCAAGCCTTCCTTTCACTTTACTGCTCGAATTCTACTTTTTTTGTTTTCATCACTTAATGCAGAATTGCAACGCATCTTCTGCAAGCATGGCTGGACTACAACCCCAATTGAAAGTTACATCTAATACTACCTGACAGTGTCCCTTAAATTAACGGACAAAAGTGAAAAGAGAATTGCCTATAGGAAAAAAAAAAAGAATAAAAATAAAAATCAAGGCAGTTGCAGTTTAAGTTGCAATAAAATGATGTTTGTAAAAACACGTGAAAATACCATTTGGTAGAATTATTCAAAATAATTGGTTTTGCAGATTGCAGTGTGCCAGATGAGATTTCCAATTTTACTTTAAAATAAAAAACAGCAAATGATTTAAGTAGGTGATTCCCTTCCCAGAAAGAAACGCTGAATGCTGCAACACACTCTATCTGAACATGCATCACCAGCACAGTCAAAATTTAGCCATTTCTGTCCTTATTGTCTTTTGAAAGTAACTTTTAGATAATTTTCACAAGTGAAAATGGTTAAAAGTTGAAAAATACTATTAAGTTGTGTGTGCGTGAACTCATAACAAGGAGGGGAGCTTGCATGATCATAGTGAAAGCAGCTTTGGAAAACCCAAAGTACTGATGTTGTGAGCATTTGTTTATGATAAAACTTGTAAATAGAAAATGTAAGACATTCACATCTATTACCTCTGTTAATTTATGAGAGCCATGTGAAGTTATAAAGATGTACTTGTAGCAGAAAACCATGCATTTTGTTCTCTCCACACTACTAATATCCAAGCTGCTTGCTATCCTGCTTCCTCAATGCTCCCCCCATGTACAAGCAGCCTGTTCCCAACACAAACACAAGAGGAGAAGCACTGGGTGCAGATCTTAAGTTCTGATGGTTTTAAGCAACTGAAAATGAGGCAATGTGAAGCTGTTAGTCTCCTCCTGGCACTCACGTCACAGAAGTGCCGCTGTGCAGCGGCCGAAGCTCTGCCGCTCGGCCACACGAGCGCTCCGGTGCGTCCTGCACTGCCGTGGCACTGAGGCCGCTCCGGGAAGCACCGCTGGACCTCATGGCCTTCCAGAGTGCAGCTAGGCTGCTCGGGGCTCTCGGCCCCCGGTGAAATGCCAAACCCACCCGCTTCGAGAAATACACACTGCCAGTTTGTGCTCTTACCTGCAAACGCTGGACCACCGGAGCCCCTTTCGCTCCACGTGAAAGCAAAGGCAGCTGGAAACATTCCTCTTGCACCCTGCTCCCCCTCTAGCACCCCAAACCCTCCATCCCCTCTCAGCACCACCACCCTGCAAGGTTCGCTTTAGTCCCCAAAGCAGCTGCCTTCAGGATGAATACAAAGCAATGCGTGTTAGTTTGAAGGAGACGTGGGTTTAGCCTGAAAATGTTTTCAAATAGCTTTTTTTTTTTTTCCTTCTATGGTTTTAAAAGCGGGGTGGAGAGGGAGCAAAGTATTAGCGAAGTATTTTATGGCAAAATAATCACTCATTTTAAAAAAAGCCATTCAGATAGAGCACTGCCATGCGGAATTTCCCGCAGAATTAAAGCGATCCTCCGAGGAGGCATAATATCATTCTGGTTTTGTGTAATCAAAAGCAGAATTGCCTTTTGCTTTGTTAAAAGTAAGCAGAAAGTTAATTTCTGTAAAAGATATGCTCTGGAACAGAAACACTTACTTCAACAGAACCAATCTTCCTGGATCTTGGAAGAGGTGACTTTCTGTGTATGTGAATTGGGTCTGATACCATTGGCTTGAACATCACTACTGACCGATCTGTTTCATCCCTTTTAGGAGCATGTGCCTCCTCATCACTATCATTTCTATGGGAGGTTTTCTTCGAGCCTTCATTCTACAAGCAATAGATAAATCCTCTTCAATTCAGCTACACACTTGACATCAGGTAGACAAAAGTGATCGTTAAGCTAATCTTTGGGACAAACCAAAAACAAGCTGATTTTCGAAAGAAAAAGATTAAGCATATATCATTTAATGACTAGTCATGGAAACATATATTCCTCTAGACTTTTACACACCGGTGTTCGCTCCTTGCTGGCGACTGCATGTGACAATAAGGTCCTAAGCAACCACACTGCTCAACTCCTCCACTTTCTGTTCACACAGCAAAAGACTTCTGGACCCAGAAGCCAACCACAGAAGTCACATCAAGCTTTCCTGCCACTTCTCAGAAAGTAGATGGTAACTACACACACAACTCCGATTGTATCGGTCCTTCCCCTACGTCTATTATCAACAATTCCAGACTACACCACTTTCTTACACGCTTCTTGCACTTGTCAGAACATGGCTGATGTGGCACAAGCTGCTGGGACCATTTTTATTACAAGGACTTTTCATTTCTAGCAAGACAGTTGGGCAAAGTCAAATAAAGGTGTGAAGCATGCGTACTTGCCCCAGTACTTTCCCCAGCATCTATCGAAAATGGAAGTGTGTGTTGGCATTTCCTTTATTGTCTTAAAACAAGTAAATAAAAACACATTTTTATTTGCCACCTTGCAAAAGGTTTTAGAATCTATTTTAGATACATCCCCACATCCAAAAATACTGATTTTGCTTTAAAGAAAGACCCAATTATTTATTACCTCTCGGGAGGCAGGTCGATATCCATATCCAGCTGGTAAATTTTTGTCTTCCTCACAGCCTTTGGCTCCTGGACTAAAGTGCAGCTCTACATGGAAGCGCTCCTCTGAAGAAAGTTCCTAAAGAAAATGATCAATATGTTTAGCCTTAGCATACAGTTTAGAATTATTCATTCCTGAAAATATTTACTCATTTTAAATACCTTGTTTGGATCCTCATAAAGCATGATAACAATCTGTGTCATGTAATTGAGTTCATTGACAACATTCAGGTAATCCATAGCTCGCTTCCACTGTTCATCTTTTGACTCCTTATGAAAGGGGGAAAAACACTTTGTGAACCACATTTGAATCTAGAAAATTCAAGTCAGTGATTTGCTTTAAAATGACTTATGATTTCTGTGTCCCTCACCCTGCATTTGAATGGATTTGACTTTCATAGAGGAAATACAAAGCTCTTTCCAGGTAACGAAAAAAAATATAAAACCAAAATATAAAACCAAACCTAAAAAAATATAACACCTAAACCCAAAGGTTTATCTGCTATACCATCCTGCTACAGTGAAACCAGGGCCTAAGCATGCTTTTCGGCTCTGTAAGTTCACTTACCACAATCAGAATCAAGTACACTCGAAAAGGTATGAATTCAAAAATGAATTTAGTATTCAAGCACTGCCTAAGGAGCAGCTCTGTGGGCTCTGAGGTGCTCATTCAGCTCAGCGGGGTCATGTGGGATTCAGGGGAGCTTGTCTTTTCCACTGAGCAGTCCAAAGTTGCACCATAAATTCCCAAAGCCAGCGTTTTAACAGAAGAAAAAGCGTTCCACTTACGTCGCATAAGGCACCGTAGCGAAGGGTGGACAACAGGGAATGGACGTGACTCTCGCTGGTGAAATAGAGGCGCGTGCGCACGTGCCGCTCGGGGGACATAACGCCCCGGGAGTAGCTGAAAAGTCAACACAGCCCCGTCAGGGCAGCACGTGGCGCGAGCCCGTTTTAGAAATAGCTGCTAACGATAAATCACAGTTTTGAAATGACTGTGACCTCGCAAGACATTTCAAATACAAAAGCTATGCAAGATCTCCAGTAAATCTTACAGAAGTTACTTTTCCTTTTATATATATATATATACACACACACACACACACACACACACTTCAATTAAAAGACTTACAGTGGGTGAAGCTTATTTACAGTATCATCATCTTGAGTCCTCTGAAGGTCAGAACGGATTTTTCTCACTAGAGGAGTGCAGTAACCTTTGGCAATCTCTAGTTTCTCAGCCTTGGAAATACCATACTCCTGTATAAGAGAACACTGACTTTTAAAAATCTTCACCTTTGCATTCAAGGCCTAGCTATAAAAATCTGCTATTATTTGGCTCTGGTTGCAAATTGTTTTTAAAAATGTTTTTAGTACACTCAAACCCTTCTCTTCATGTAAGACAGGGTCTGCCTTTATGCTCTTTGGGTTGACATGAGTGAACCATTCACTAGTTCACTCGTGAAATTCACTCAGTAGCTCATTCACTAGATAGGCCACAAAAATGGACTCATTTTGGTATGAAGAAGCTCTATTCCTGAAGCAAAACATGCAGAGAATGTTTTTACCCTGAACGCTCAGTCATTAATAATGAGTTTAATCTCACCTGATTTCAATTAACTACCTTTATTTATTTATTTATTTATTTATTTACTTTATTTATTTATTTATTTATTTTTTTTACTGTCAATAGAAACAGGCACATTATCCATTTTAGCCTGGGGCAAACTATCCCGAAGGAGATCCTAATTCACCCCCCACAATACTGAAAAATATGGATTAATTTGAAAGACAGACATTCGGTAGTAAAGTACAATTGAAAAATAAGTATTGTAACAAATGTTACAATATTTATAACACTTAATCTCTCCTTTTTCAAAAGCTTCGTGCTCTGTGCTACCTATCATATGACAAGGCATGTTACTGTTGTAAAACATAAGTGATTTAAATTTTAAAAGACCTTTCTGAAGAAGAGTGAGATTTCAACAGTTTGCAGTTAACAACGTCTGTTTGCAACAGCCTGAAAATAAAGCTTCTAAAAGCAGGGAGCAATAAGTTAAATAAACTTTCAAGAAACACAGGTGTTCACACCATTCCCACTTGAATCTATGAAGAATAACTGCAATGAACAAGTTTATTTCAATACACTGCATTACGAAAAGCACACATGCTCATAGTTTAGAGCCGCTGGAAAAAATAATCATTCTGAGCACATTTGATGAATTATGAACAAAACTTTTCTGATGCTTGCTATCAGAAAATAGGAGGTGAAAATTAAGGCTTCTATTACTGCAAAACATAGGAACATTCAAAGAAAAAATAAAAAGATAGAATAGGCATTTTTCATGTAATTTGATTAAATAGTCATTTTGGAAGCAATCTACTTAATACCTGAAAATGCTTACCTGAGGAATCACAATGTCAGCTAAAGCCTTTGAAAGCCTGTACAATTCCATTGTGTTTTCTAATTTTAGGGAACCGTTGTGCTGAACGTCATATTTTATGCAGTCATAAATGTCAGGAATCTTGCTAATGTCATATCGTCCATTCTTTGTTTTGAAGTCTTTCTCCAGCTTGGCCCACCTGCGCAGCATCAGTTCCAGTGTTTCACTGTGGTACAGCTGAATATCTGGGCAGACACATACCTCACGTAACTATTCAGGATCATGCAAGTAACAAAAGCACATTTTCAACTATGCTATTATCCCTTTAAAACAATTTTAACACAAGCTCTAGCTTTCCTTTCATTTGCTTTTCCTATTCCTTCTGCAAACTGGTGAGTCCCAACTTATTATGACACAGATTTCTGCAGATACCTGAACGTTTCCAGATGCCACAAGAGCTGTTACCTCCAAAATGACCATGGGTTCTTCCTCTCACTCTCACATAATTTTGAAAGCACAAAGCTTTTATTCCACGCATACATGATGCGACTGAAAAGCATTGCTGATCAAAGTTCTGCTATACGCCAGTTCAATGAGGAAAGGTTATATTACAATTCTCTTTCAAATGTATGTTGAGAGAAACTAAATGTAACTACAAAATACTCACGTACCTGCAGACTTTGGATCTTCCATTCTTTGCCTGATCTGTGAAGTCAAGCTCTGGATTAAGGAATAGACTTTGTCACATGTCTTCACAGGATTTTTGATAACCTGCATCGATTTTATCAAAGAGATGCTTCCAGATGGAGTAAGCTGAAATTTCAGATAAACACAAAATTATCTAAACAAACTGGTTGTATTTGAAACAACCGAGGAATCAAAATAAAATTAAATATAATTTCCAGAATTTGATTTTAGTAGGTATACCCTACAGGATAAGGGCATAATACTCAAAGTCATGAATCATTATTTGTATTTTGTACTATGTCAGCATGGACTTTATTTAGAAACACTAATTTAGTATGTTAATGAGACATTTCCTTTCGCCATTTGGAAAGTATTCTATTGCTATTCAGCAATATTCTTGGAATATTATACCAAGGAAACTGGGGAAAGGCATTGCAACAAGTTAAATATTGCTACAAACTTAAATAAGTATGCAATATATTTTGCATTCCCCATCCCTCACACTCTTAAATCATTAAAAATTTTGAATTACTTGAATACTGAATAATTTAAAAAAAAAAGTGAAAAGGTGAAAAGCATTACTAATGTCTTCCCTACCAATAGTTATAATCCTATGTCAAAGTTTTAGCTACTCTGATAACTCATATTGCATGAAGGGACAAAACCAGTGAAATCCCTGCTTATTTTTTCATTACAAATATTTGCTTAAGCTTTTATTTCATTGCACAAAGTCATCACATTCTAACCTTATCATAATCATCAGCAGTGAAATCTCTGTCTCTCTGGAGAATTTCATGGAGTCTTGCTTTGACACGGTGCTGGCAGCTGCTTAAAGAATCGCTGTCACTGTCCAAGAGACCATTCATGTTAGCACTCTTCACCATCTGGACGAGAATAGGAGTCAGCTCACCCTCTAAGGCCAGTAGGCCCTGCAAGAAAAGAATGTAATTAGCTAAACAAAGATGAAATGTCAAAGTACCCTTGAAACAAAACACCAGGCATTTAAATCAAGGCCGTATCACTTGGCTGTGTGTTAAGATATACATAACTTTTGCAGTTTGCAGGGCAGTGGCCTCAGAGCACCGTTTAGGACTGCTAGAGCGGCGCATGAGCGGTGGTGGAGCGCGCTGTGCACGAGCCCCGGCAGCAGCTGGGGTGACCCTGGCGTGCCAGAGGTGCTGCCGAGCTCCAGGGAAGCCCTGGCTGGCCAGGCCTTGGGCTGCCCGGAGCCTCTCGCCAAAGCTGAGAGCAAAGGGAAGTGCTCTGGTCTCCGGGCTGAGGCACCCGGTGAAGATCTAGGGGAAGAGCCAGCAGACTGAAAGACTGGAAAGCACTAATGTGTTTTGCTGTGGCTGCAAAAGCTAAACTTGTCTGCAGAGAGCTGCTCCCTCAGAGATTCACATACCAGGCACATTAACTGGAAACTCATCACAATACCCTAAACATTTGAAAAAAAAATTCCTTTGAAACTCAGTCTTGTTGCTTGTGGACGGTAATAAACCACACAACTTCCCCAGCCTCCAACAGAAGCAAGCAACCCCGGGAGTCTCAGGGCTCTCGCCCGGACAGGCCGTTCCGGGGTGGGTACCTTGGCGAAGGCGGCCGCCGTCATCTGCACTCGCCCCTCATCGGACGCGTAGATTTTGAGGTCGTGCCGGTAGGTGCTGTGCAAGCGGAGCAGCCCGCAGCCCGGAAAGCCGGCGTAGTCTCCTGCAACACAACACAGCCCACGCGCTCGCCTCGCGCTCCCTCAGCTGCCGGAGCCCCCGCTCGCGCCACCCCAAGCGCCCTTCCCCTCTCCTGCTTTCCTTTGTTTACGTATTTTACCTTGTCCGCCCGGATACATGCACCTGAAAGCCCTTCCCAGCTCCTCCGCTTGAACCCTGCCCGCCGGGGTCAGCTCTCCTCCCCATTTCAGAACCAGCAGCAGGGACGGCTCGTTTCTTCTGTTGTCTGATAGCACACAGAGAGAGGAGGTCAGTTGTGAACTACACTGCAAACCTTCTTTGTTTGTTTATAAATGAAAAATGCCAAAACTATACAGGGCATTACTACAGGATCTCTTCAATATTATAAACTTTTAAGAGCATCCTACCATTAGGAAAACACAGAACTAGGGAGGACAAAACAGGCACTTAAACAGAGAAACCTGCAGTAGTTCAATTAGAGAGAAGATCTAAATGAAGAGTATTTATTAAGAAATCTGAGGGAAAAAATAAAAATCAAAAGCCAGAAAGTCAAAACAAGTGGGATGCTAAATATCTAGTTATTTCACTCAAAAGCCAGAAAAGCACCAGAATTCTTTAAAGGCAGCAGTCAACAGTGCATGGGGTTTTTCCAATGTCTACCCCAGGACACCACTCCTGGTCAACCACTGAAGTTTCTTTCCCTCTGCTTGTCTATTACCAAAAAAAAGTGACATTAACATACAAATTTAATGCCTAGCTTTAGGCATACAATTCAGCTGTTTAAGAGACAGCTAAACATTTGCCATCCAAATAAACATTCAAAGCAACGTATTCTGCTTCTTAACAGCCCAAAAGTTGTACCATGAATCCCTTCATGACGTAAATAGAAGTCCTATTGAGATAGAGTACAGTTAATACTATACCTTCCTCTTCACTGGACGTTTTGGGGCAACCATGAGGAAGATATGTTAACTGGACTTTGCGATTTATCCCCGAAAAATGCCCATACCTGAAGGAGGAGGCAATGAAGGAAGGGGGGAAGAGAGAAATAGTAGTTCAGATAAGAACATAGATCTTTCCAATACATATTCAAACTGCCTGTGGTCCTGTGGGATACAACAGAGATGCCGCTCATTGACTCATGCACACGGCTGCACCAATACTGAGGTGTCTGCAACAAACCTGACTCAACAACCTGACCAGCACCCTCCAGGCTGCCTGCAAGGTGCACGGTGGAGACATAGCCAGAGTGCCCACAGGCTTCACTGTGTCACACACTGCAAGATCAGACCCTACAGTCGAGGACTTTGGGTTTAAAAACATACCACGTACCTCAAAATAAAACTTGAGCTCAAAGAAAGTGGTTCTTTTATAAAAAGTGTACTAAGGCCTCATGCTAAATCAAGTACGAAGATCAATAAAAAATAAGGGCAAGGAGAAAATAGGGAAAGAGGCTGGGTCTCCTTAATGTCAAACACAAAGTCATCCTCTCTCATACTAATCCTTATGCTTGAATCAGTGCATATTACTTGGTAATGCTAATTATTTGCTAATCATTGCAATTCCAAGCATTAACTGAAATTGTTGGGAAAGTCAAAATAGCAGACATCTGTAGGGCTGTGAAGCATTAGACAAAACTAAACACTTACATTTCCAGCACAGTCTTTAGCTGCTCAAGTTTTGCTTTGCTTTCTTCAATTTCAGAATCGTTGTTTTGCCCAAGTTCCACAAGAAGTTGCCTTGCTATATCAAGCACTTCCTAAATAAAAGAAATATAGGAATTCCTTAAAACAAACTGTATTCTACTTATGAATTCCTTAAAACAAACTGTATTCTACTTATAAAACACGAAGTGGGGAGGAGGGAAATAAAGATCAACTTGCCTGTAACTGTTTGGGCTTTTTCAATTTTAGTTTTCCAGATTTGTATCCATCACATTTTTCGAAGAGATCAAAAAATCTTTAGGAGAAATGATATTGATCAAAACAACC